CGGCCCTGCAGACAGAGCCCTGGTAATAGGTGATTACTGTAGTGGTAATAAGCTCTATGCAGCCGAAGAAGTGAGGTTTTTACTCACGAAAGCTTATGCCCAAATAAATCTGTTAGTCTTTAAGGTGCCACCAGACTCTTGGATAATGTTATAACTCTCTCTGCTAGACAGAAGAGCCCATTATTAAAGGTTTGTTCCGCCATGTAGATACTTACAGACTATAATCAAGTCACCTCTTAACCGTCTCTTCGTTAAGATAAACGGATTGAGCTCCTTGACCTATCACTATAAGGCAGGTTAAGGCTCTATTAACAATGATAGTAAGTCCCTGTTCCCTGATCCTGCATTGTGATCCACTGGGTGAACTGCTGCACCTATGCAGATCAAAATGCCAGATCAAGGCCACAGTTTGAGGATCCATTATTGGTCTGTGGTAAAATAAACCAGTTTCAGTAAAATATTTATATTTACAGACCTGTCCTTTATTTGGTGCAGTCTTAATTATTGTAGGTGCATGGTTTCTATTTCCTTTTGTTCTGTTCTTTAGTCATTTGGAGTTTTATCTAGAGGCTGGTCTACACTTCAAAGTTTTACTGGTCTAACTATGTAGATTAGGTGGGTGTTGTGTTTTTTTTTTAAATCACTGACAAAGAGCTTGCCTACATATTAAAATTATTTCAGATTAAGGTAGAGTGTGAATTTAAAGCAGAATAGCTATACTGGAATAACTCCATCTGTAGACAAGGCCAGAGTTATACTGGTAAAAGCTCTAGTGAGGACACAGTTATACCAGAATAAAGGCGCTCCACTTCCCTAGCGGCAATATGCTATACCACATCTTTATACCAGTATAACTGCATCCAAACTAAGGCAGTTTTATCACTTTAACTATACCTGTATAGTCATAAGCTAGTCTAGTCATAAATTCCCATAAAATTCATTATTCCAAAATGTCCTAGAGACACCCACTTGCCTTTCACCATCACATTGTAATTATGAGGCTGAAAAGTGGAATAGGAATATGGTTCACTGCAGTGACAACTGTCCATTGTCACTGAAACCAAAAAGTGATCTGCCAGTTGAAGTTATATAAAGTCAAATGACCACTCTTGTACGAATAAAATTATGTGGCCTGGTTAAGGCAACCAATTTAAAATACCAACACATTTTGACAAAGAAAAAGTGACATAGTATGCTTGAGGTTTTGACGCTATAGTTTTTGTAGAAAAGGGAGAATAGCGACAAGAAGAAATAATGATATAAAACCAAAATATTGATTCTGTAATTTATACATGAGGCAGAAAAGTATCTTAACTGAATATCAGCAATAAAGTTAAAATGCAACAACAGTCCTGCTCTTAGTTCCTAGGAGCTGTCTCTCATGCACATATTTTAATAAACATCTTACCAGTTAGGACCTCAAGTTTCCAGTTGTTTTTAATCTGAATTTCTTTATGTGCTTTCATTACAACCTGTGCATCTTCAGGAGTTTTAAACCGAACATGACACTCTATATCTCCTTCCAGCATGTCAACATAAGCAACATCAGCTATCATTGCCAGAACATCCTGTGGCACAAAAGAGAACTCAGACAAGTTAGCCAGAACAAAAATAAACTGCAGTATTTTCAAATACTGTCCTTTGAAAATCCAAGGTGCATACAAAGGAGCAATGGCTTGGGAAATATTCTCTAAAGTCAGTTACAAGGAAGTGAAAGTGCAACTTTATTACATTAATAAACGAATCTGATGTCAAATAATTTCTGGCTAACATTTATTGAGTTTTCAGAAGAAAATCTATGAATAGTCAACGTTTACTAGATTGAGAACTATATAATTTACCTCAGAGTTGCATGTGTCCCAAGAACCCAAGCCCAGGCTATATCTATTATGAATCCACTCAACAGCTAACACTTGTTGATGTTCTTTACAGTCATTAGGAGGGATGACAGCAGAAGAATAATTACGTAATACAATAGTATTTCCATTTCATATGTTAGTCCAACAAAAATATATTTACTTCCACACCTAAATATTTTATTTAAGGTTAGGACTCTGGAGAATGAAAAGAAAAAGCTCAAGAACGGTGAAGAAGTTAGGAAATCAGTACATGGCACAGTACAGTGGATACTGGAGTTCCTTTTCTCCTATACCAGATGATCTCTGCCTGAAAACTGACACCAGCAGCAGAAGAAGGAAGAGTCACACACACCCTTTCAATCAAATACTTTACCTGTGAAACTTGCTGTGAGGGAAATTAACTGGGATCACGCATTCCTAGTCAATTTCATTCACAGCAGGTACTGCAAGTAAAAAATGTTTCTATGCAAGAATTAGGTACTACTACTTTTAACCCTTCAGCTGCAAGGCTGAATCTTAAAACCCCCACAGCACTTAGGCTGACAAGACCATGTGTGGTCCAAACAAAACTTTTTCACCCTTAAGTTTAGTATTCCCACATAACATTTCCACAGAAAATTACGCAGACTAACAAAATTAATTTTATAGGAATATTTGCTTATTGGTTGATCTCTGAAAAGTGCCTTCACTCAGTAGCATTAAATAACATTTTGGTAATCAGAATTGAAATGTTTAAGCAATAATGTTACATTTAAAATATATGCAATAAGCCAGCAAAAGGTATTTTGCACTTATCTGTCAAGAATGTATTGTGAAACCTAGACTTACAACAGAGGTGACCAGACCAGCAACAAAATATTTCCATAATTTCCTAAAGTAAGCAAAAACATCGTAATATTTTTGTGTAACATTTTGTAAAATGTTATCTGCCCTATTTATTCTCTAGTCATGGTTGTGACTCCATAGTTAAGATGGGGAGTGACTTTCTATTATAATTCATATTTTCACAGTCCTTTCTTTTCTCCTGAGAATTTTCATGCTTAGTCACAGGTCAGATCTTTTTTTTTTTAAGACTGATGCAAATCAGGCAAGTAATTTGATTTACATATCTGAAAATACCAGAGAGTCTAACACAGTTTGATTTCATCTACACAAACAAGATCAAAACTCTGTTATCCCCTTGACTATATTACATCATGTAACACAAACCCCTGACACAATAAAACATGTAAATGCAGACAAACGCTGAATAGCGCCTAGATATTACAAGTGATGAGTGAGGGGGAGGGAGGAGGTCAGACATTCTCTCATTAATGTCTCTTGGCTCTTAGATAGCTGCTTATAAATACCTAAATAGATAAGACTGATTCAGCTGAAAGCATATCACCAATTTGTTTTCAGTAAGAGAGATATGGCCCCGATCTTGCAAAAATGTACGCACATGCTGAAGTTTAGACACATGATTAGCCACCCTGACTTCAATTGGCACAGGATTGTAAACTTAACCAATTGCATAAGTCTTTGCAAGACTAGGTCTGAAATAGTTCTCTCATTGCCTTAAATGATCTACAGAGTATTCATTCCAATATTGCCAATATAACATAATGTTTACTGTTTGAAAAGCATTCAAGTATTAAACCTTCTGATTTAAGTGTCATAAAAGAACTGATTCAGTCCATATACTAATTCAGGGCCCCATCTATGCAAAAGAACCAGCATACGCTAATACTTCACATATTACTGTGCCGGGGGCTTCTGAAATGGACGTTTCGTATTTAAATTAGGGGCAAGTGATGAAAATACCATAGAAACTCAGCTTCTGTGTTTCCCCAAACAGGCACAAGTTCATGTCTCTATTTATTCTTTCTTATCTGAACCAAAAATACATAAGAAACTGCAAGTTGCAAATAATAAAAAAGAATGTTGGTCTTCTATCACCTCACAGCGCTGCAAATTTATATTACGTTTCATGTAAACTAAGACCAAAAAACCAATTTGACAAGCACAAAAATAAGTAACAGTTACATGTTATTTCATTTATCAAATTACATATAACCATATGTAACATAAATGGTATTTTTGGAATAATTGTGAGTCACTTAGGGAAATATTTTATCACTCTCATTCAGGGAGCACTTTATTGGCCTCAAGTTCCTATTAGATAAACAAACCTTAAGTAAAAAAAGGTTCAGTAAAAAATTACTGGCACTGTATATTATTTTGAGAGAGATTAATCTATATTAAGCAACTATCATCCATTTTGCCTTTATATGAAGTAACAGCTTACCAGTAACTTAAATAGTTATTTTGTTTGTTTTCTTAACAATACAGAATTCAACTGATGTTTGTCATACCTAAGTTGCAAGGGTGGAGCAGTCAGGGCTGGTGATAGAGGGAGAAAATGACTCACCCCCCAGTAAAAAGTAAATCTGTTTCATAAAACTTATTTTTATGGTAAACTTGACTTCTCTGGAAGAGCTCTTTTCTCTTCTCAAAGCTTTTATTACTGTTGGTTTTGAAATAGGTTCTCTCAACCTGGTTCTGCTTTAATGAAATCTTCCATTAATGGGTACTATTCAGAAATATGTATACAGCTAGTTGCCGGATAGAAATTCAATAGGACTAGTTTAAATGGTATTCAATCATTTTCAGGATGGTATAAGGGGAAAGGATAACAGCTGCCCTGAGGTTACAAAGGCATTACCTTGATGTGTTTCCTGCCTGGTAGGGGTTCGGTGCTAATGATCTTCACAATTACTCCACTCACAAACTGTGGTCCCATTGTGTTAGCTTTCTCAGGGGGGCCAGAATCTTCATTGGTGGCTGTAAATTTGAAGAGGAAAAGAGCATAATGAAGCTTCACACGTATTACCTTGACAAACACAAGATAACCACAAAAATCACACAAACAATGCAATAAATCTTGTGGTGGCATTCATACAGTGAATACCAAACATGGCTGCAATGGATATATACTTTGTTAGTTGGGATCAATTTATATATATGGATATTGATGGCAGAAACTAGTATTTCAAAAGATAAAACCAAAGTGACAATACCAGGAGATGGCATAATGAATGAATCAATTAGAAATCCCTCCTAAACAAAAGGCCTTATACAAATCCTTTTGCAGTTTTAAACACAACCTATGGTAAGAATACTTAAATTAACACCCTGTTAGTTGTAAGGATCTTTGCACCCCAGATTCTGGAATGATCTTGAAGAGTGCTGAAAAAGGTTTAGCGCTCCTAGGCTAGAAGTTTGTGGACAGAAGTTCAGGGGATCCAGTGCAACCCAGTAACAGAGTAAGGCACTTTCTGGAACACCGTTTACCCCATCTACACTGACCACAGAAACATTGCTAGCATGGTACTGTCAAGAACTGAGTTGAAACATGGTTCTGACTAACACGGATGCACTGCTTGTGTAGACAGGCCCAGAATGGAAAATACCGCAAGACTTGGTAGTTGGTTTACTATGAAATATTATCATTAAATTAAACTAAATGTCTCAAAAGCAAAGGTCATTTTGTAATCCTGGATTATTTTCTAAATAATTTGATTATTCATTAATTCAGATAATTCAATAAACCATAATCGGTATAAATACAATTTATTTTATATAACATAGTTCCTTTAATATGAAGTATTGTAAAAGCTTTATTTCACTCTGCCTTTTCCATTCAGAGAAGTTAGTACACTGTGGAACTATTTTGATATAGATCTATTTTCCAGTTCTATTCAAATACCAAACTCTAATGACCACCAACTGCATTTAAAAAAAAAAAACCCATCATAAAACACACAACATAAAGATCATCAGAACAACCATTACATTTGACATTTTTTGTTTGAGGACACTTTTGTACACCACTATCTGTTTCCATCTTCTCCAGACACTCAGATTTGATTTGGGACATTGTTTTCTTTAAGGAAGCCATGCTGGCTTTTTGAAGGGCCAAATATTCTTGCTTCAGATCCATCCATTCACTCCTACGTAAGACAAAGATTTAGGAATAAAAATGTCAACATTCGTGCAAAGATAATTAGACTTAAAAAAGCCATTACTAACATGAAGACAAAATTATGATGCTATTATTTGTATTACTGCAGAATCTGGGAGCCCTAGTCATGGACCAGAACCCCACTGTGCTAGGTGTCGTACAAACAGAACAAAAAGACAGAAATGTAATCTAAGTATAAGACAAGAGACAACAGATAGAGACAGATGAGGTAGCACAAGAGAACAAGACAATATTGGTCAGCATGATAGGCAGTGGTCTCAGTACACCAACAGTCTAACTTATCAAATTTTTGTAGGCATCATGAAAAAGACAAGTATTGAGGAGGGTTTTGAAGTAGGATAATGAGGTAGCTTTGAAGATGTTTATGGGGAGTTCCTCCCAAGCGCAAAGCACAGTATGGAAAAAGCACAAGAGTGCTTGTTTGAAAAATTAGCAAGTGGGTAACAGAGGGTAGCATCATGGACTGATTAGAGGTGACAGTCAACATCTTGATAGCGAATGAGAGTGGGGATAGGCTGCAATGGGTGACATGGTCAAAATGACTTGCAAATAAAATACAAACCATAGCTGATATCAGGGGGCAGATGCTCAGCTGGCGTAAATTGGAGCTATGGCAATATATGCCAGCTGAGGCTCTCCCCTGTTGTGCTTAATGGCCTCCACATCTTTTTATATAGCTGTCTAGGGTCTGATGGTTATCTGACTAAATTACCACTTTGTTTTATCTACTAAACGGTCTAAATAAATACTAACAGGAGAACAAAATTACTAACAAATTAAGGGAGATTGCCAAATGTATTACATCTTCTTCAGAAAGCATTCTTAATGCTTTGGTAAATCAGACATATATTATTTGGAACTGGAATTACAGAGCATGGACACTAATTCAGGATTGATTAGTTCACTGAGCCCTCTTTAGTTTTACTACATTAAAAATTAGTAATTTTCTCTAGAAAATTCACTGATTAAAAACCAACAACTGGTTAAACTCACCCCCCCCCCCCGCGCAAAAAAACCCTTAGAGATAAGAACATTCCTTACGATTCAAATGCATTAGAGTTTTAAAAAAATCCACACTGCATGGAAGCAATTTATATATTTACATACATTTAACATGGAGATGTTTCTGCAAACAGCTAGAGCTTTGCTCCATAGAAACACAATGCCTATAGTGCCACTGTGAGAACGACTCATTGTTACCCTAATCTGTGCTATCAAACAAGCTGATAGGGGATTTTTAAAGAGGAGGATATCTTGTGGTAATGGTTTTAGCTGTTAACATTGACAACTGTATACTTCAAAAAAGCATCTAGCTCACCCAGGATCATACGTTCTCACAGAGCAAAGACATTAAAATAACAAAAGAGCCATGTAATGATTCTTTGAGATAAAAAGGCAACAACCACTCTGTAGTAAGGTATGGTATAAATAAGAGCCGGAGGAGGCACTCCCTGTTAACTAGACTGAAAAGGAAGAGCACACCATGGGGAATGAGCCAGGCAAGTAATTCAATGTTTATAATGTTCTTCTGAAGCATTTCTACTATGCAATAATGAATAGAAATGTAATATTCTTCTGTTATATTTTGTGCAGCAGGTGTATTGAACTGGTGGAAAAGGATAGCAGACACTGCAAAGTACTGGTTTATGTGGACCCCTTCTACTTTAACATGGAGGTGCTTTCTGTGACTATAAAAAGTAAGTGCTTCCATGTTTTAGTAGAGGTGAATCCTGATCTCAGTCCTGGAATATCCATATGGAAAAACAGGAACCTTGCCTCTACTCTTGTGTCAGAGGATTTGTTGATCCATAAAGGAAATAAACACAAGAAGAGGAAAAATAAGAAATCATGTTTACCTATTATGTATGTTATTGTAATTAATATTAATGATTATTACAAGTGAGGTATTTATGACAACTTTTAAAGGACCCCCTTTGCTTTAACATGGGGGTACCTGCTGCCTAGAAAAAGTAAGTGCTTCCATGTTTCAGTCGTGGTGGATCCTAGTGTCTTGAATTTATGACACTTCTAGCAAATAAGACTGATCACTGCTCAGAAAGCAAACTAAAATGTACAAAAAATAACAAATGCTAGCAAGTCTGTCCTTTAAAATATCAACCCGTATTATTGTTGTACTTCAAACTTCAGATTTTTCACAACAAAAATGCTGCCTAAAGATTACATTTTATATTATTAGAAAATACTCTGAATGTGCATGCTATATTTTAACAAATTCTTATATGTAGTTATATTTTACAGAACAAAAACAGGTATAACAGAAGTTTGCAGCCTCAGCTTAAAGGACCCCCACTACTTTAATGTGGAAGTACTTGCTTTGCTCCTGATAAAGTAAGTGCTTCCATGTTTTAGTGATGGTGAAACCTGATTTTCAACTGCAGAACATCTACACTGAAAAAATTCCCATTTCCACAGAAAACATTTGATGTGGAAACCTAAGAGGACTAAAGACTTACAGAATTGTAATTAATCTGTAGCAAAAACATTCCATGCATTGTAGATATGAATTACACAAATACTCTTAAGGGAGAAATCCTGCCCATATGAGGCACTTAGACAGAATCCATGGCTTAGACTGGCATCATGACATAAATATGAAATTCTCTGGGGGCAGGGGGCAGTCAATACTGTTTTTCTCCACAGCACTAATGCATCCCTATACAGGGTTAGTTTCTCTCTTTTCATAACAGCTATGCACTCATGGATTTACTTCCTTCCCTCCTCACCCCCATGCAAAAATAGTTAGTCTTTGTTGTAAAGGACCCCCTCTACTTTAACATGGAAGTACTTGCTGGATGCTTGAAAAAGTAAGTGCTTCCATGTTTTAGTTGTGGTGAATCCTAATTGCTCATTTACAGATCAATTACACAGCAGAAAATGCTGTTTTAAGTACACTGGTTAAAAGTCCACTGTGATTATCTGGAGGGCCCCAAGTTGGAATGTTGTTTGTGTTTGATAGTTTGTTGTGTTTGTATTTGATAGTACTGTATTTTTGGCTTTTATACCTATTTTTGTATTTTCCAGGTACCACACAACACACAGAGCAACAGATAGCTGTTTTTAAATCCAATGAGATGTTGGTATTAAGAGTATTAGAAGGAATGTAAATAAACTCAATATACATTTTCTATACTACTATCTATTAAGGAGAAGGAATGTAAATAAATACACTACTCAATTTACATTTTCTATACTACTGTCTATTATCAAGGAGAACAGCAATTTTTATATGAAATACTTATAGTATAGTTTTTTTTATTTTACTTTTAAATAAATGGCAACCTTTTTTAAGATAAGTTTTACCCAGCTACATACAGGACTCCATGATGCAACAACAAAAAATATATATATTTTTTTAATTTGAATCTGTTTTGTTACCTAAAAGTTTGCTGTAAATATCTCTTGTAAAATGTTTAAACTTTGTTGTTATATTTATATATCTTAAACTGCAGGCCACTACTGTTGCTAATATGCAACTCTGTTGTGTAAAAGCTGGAATTGCACTTTAGCAATGGTGATGGACTGTAAGACATACAAATAGATATTACAGGAAATGGCAATGTAATACTGGACATATTAGATGCTCTCAGATAAATATCAAAAGATGCATTGTATTCAATTAATTTCAGTTTGGCGATATTTAATAAAGTATGCAAAACTTTAGAAACTTGTGATTTTATTGGACAGTTATGTTTTTATATTTTGTTTGAAAATGTCACACAGTTAACAGTGGCATGTTGGCGTAAAGAAGCATGCACATTCACGTCTACCATTATGTCAAAACATGAAAGCATTTAAATTTGGGTTACTATATAACAGTTTAAATGGATGTAAAAGATTCTCCTTATAAACTTCTGTTTCTGGGGCTTAATTTGGTCTGTTCACTTGTAGAGAATCATGAACAATTCAAATTTTGATCTTGGAAGGATCTAAGAAAGTACAACATAGTTATATCCACAACTCTTTAAAAGTATCCTTTTTGAAGGAATCCCATTAAATTCAAAGGACCTGGCAACACAGCTACTAACACTTTTATCCCATAAATACTTACCACACAAAACTCAACTTATTGCTAGTTAAAAGATAAGCTACATAGCTTGTTCTGCCTTTTAAATCATAATATGGTTTCCAAACAAACACTTAAAATATTTTACCTACACACACCCTGGGATTGCACAAGAGAAAAGTGACTTTTTAGCAGATTTTGTGCCATGACTGACACCACAGTCTGCATGGATAGTAAAATCATAACTGAAGCTAAGTTTTCATTAATTGGAAAATAGGTGCAAAAAACATATTTAAATTGTTGAGAGAATTAACTGAAAGTCTTAAGTTCAATCCTGAACATTTATTTTAAAGGAAAGCATTCAAATAAAATGCTTTCAACCTATCTCAGGCACTTCAATTCCTTTAATAGGAAGGAAAAAAACACGGTCCATATCTTTCTTACATTGTTGTAAATTCAAACACCACCAAGCTTGAAGGGTGTAACACTGGTGTAATTTACTCCTGAGTTTACATGAAGAAAAAGCAGACCTGTGTGCCTTATGCAAACTGTATAATGCCATCAAAGTACAGACCAGAGTTTCATTTATTTCAGTATCCAACAGTGGTCAGAGAGATTCTTAAAGATTAGGCTTAAGAAGCTTCTATAATGAACCTAATTGTGGGGATATGCTGTGAACATTTTACTTTTGCACTTATTTTCTTTAAGAGATTGAAGTTATTTGCCACAAAGACAGCAGGGTTCTGTGTATTTTTCATTATCTGAAATAGAGCTAACATCCCACCATATGGTGGAAACAATAATTTTCCCCATTACTACTCCTAAAACAGCAGTCTTAAGACAAATTTTGACAAGTTCTCAAATAAGAAATCCACCTGATATATTAATGCAGTGACATTAACTTGAACTAATGTTGACTGAGAGCTTACAGCAGCTAACTGATTAGGAGGGGGGGAAAAAAACACTACTGCCCTAAAAAGAAGATACAGACTAACACGGCTGCTACTCTGAACTACTGCCCTACAGTGCAAGTGGGTTAATACCATTGCTCTCTTTTTGAATGGTATGGTATATTCAATCAGCACAAAAAAAACAAAACAAAAAAAAAACTACTCTGAATGCTATAAACATATTAGTTGATGTCATAACATACTTTGAGAGTACTCTCAATGGAATGACCTCCTCTCCCATCTTGTGCCTTTCTTTGTGCTTTTTCTTATGCTTCCTTTTTGATTTTGAAAGAGATGTGTCTTTCTTATCACCCTCTTTCTCCTCTTCTGTATTAACTTCTAAATGAAAAACACCAAAAGAAAGAATTGGACATGACTTGGACAGATCATATTTAAAGTGATAAACATAATTGAAATGGCATGTTCCTTCATTTACATTGCTATAAGAAGCACTGCTGTGACAACATTTATGATCATCTTTTTCAGTTTGAAATTTTCCTACTAATATCACAGTGAAATGTAGAGAGGTCTCTTCTAATTTATTTCCACAGTATATTTTAAAAAGTACAGACTAGTACAAACTGTCTCTGTCAACCAACATGAAAAACAATGCAGAATGCCTGTTTTAGACTATTATTCACTCTCTACTTTGTTTCATTCCCAACCCTTCACTCCTTTCTCCACTGAGCACTGAAGGTTTATCCTTTACAAAGCTGAAGAGATATTGTACTCCATTGCTTCCTTCATCTTAGATTCTTAATTCTCCCTTAAGCCACCTATAATCCAGTATTCTTTTCCTCTCCACACCCCTTCTAGTTCACATTAAAACCATCTCCAGCTATGTGAATAAGAGAAACTCATTAATGGATTTCCAACAATAGTTGCTGTCTCCCTACTTTTCCCCCCTCATCAGTAGCATGAGCCACTATTCCAGTGGTTCCCAAACTTCATTGCACCGCGAGCCGCTTCTGACAACAAAAATTACTACACAACCCCAAGAGGGGGGACTGAAGCCTGAACCAAAGCCTGATCCCCATCACCACTTGGTGGGGGGCCAAAGACAAAGCCTGAGCCTAACCCTGTAACCTGAGCACCACCGCGCTGAAGTCCTTGGGCTTCGGCCCCAAGTAGTGGGGCTTGGGCTTCAGCTTTGGCCCCGGGGCAGTGGGCTTCAGGCTTTGGCTCTGGCCTTGGGCCCTGGGCCACAGCAAGTCTAAGCCAGCCCTGGTGACCCCATTAAAATGGGGTCTCGACCCACTTTGGGGTTCCGACCCACAGTTTGAGAACCGCTGCACTATTCTATTTCCCATAAACTATTCCCTGTCAAAATCAAAAGCAGGGGTAGTCAATAGGCAGACTCCAGGCCAAATCTGGACTGCCAGATGCCGTTGAATGGCCCCCAAAATCTTTTTATTTACTTATTTATTATCATTATTGTTATTTTTTCTGGAGTTTGGACCTTGACTATACATTGGCCAAGAAATTTGGACCTTGACAAAAAATAATTGACTACCCCGATCAAAAGTGATCTTATCACTCTTCTTCTGCTGAAACCCTCAGCTAACTAGTCCTCACTTGCGAACCACAATCCTTTCCCCTCTCCCATTTTATATAGACTTGGCTGCTTCAGTATGCGGACTCAATGACCTCAAAAGGTCCCTGCCAACCCTACATTTCTAGGATTTTATGATTTTTGTTTTGAAAAAAGTTGTTTTCTCAACACAAACTTTTGGATCTATGGATATCAACCTTTTCCCCAAACTACGATTGCTGTAGTCCCAGGTGATTAGCTATTTACTTTTAGCTTCTAACCATGGATCCTTATTGTCACATGTAATTTTGACATAGCTTTTAATATCTTGTGTTGCTGTATCTTTCTTATTTCCAGTAGAAAAGAAAAAAAGTGTCTCCAGCACATTCCTTTTCTGATTTTAATCCTACCCATCTAGGTTTTTATATGGGGCCTTTCAGCATAGTCTTGAGTTTTTAAATCTATACCCAATTTCAATGGCGTTCCAGCTGCCCATACCAGGTCTGACTTGAGCCTTCCCTGTAAACCATATTCATTTCTGATGAGAGCATCAAACCTTACCTAGTGTCTCTGCTATTCTCCATCAAGCTCATCTCTCTTGAATGTCTCAGTGCTAGCTTTAAACTTGACAACATTTCTATGAGCAATGATATCCAACTCTATATATTCCTCAACTCATTATCTGAACCCTCATGTATCTGCCAGCTATTGGCCCAAATACCACTAATGAATGCTTCAAAAGATTAAAGTCCTTTTGATAAAAAGTAATTGGTGTCCAATGTCTGAATCCATTATCACTCTCCTTAGCACATAAATTTACCCAATAAACATTAGTCTAAGTACTAGGCCTAGTAACCCGAGGCCATCCCTCCCAAAGCCAGGAGCGTGTATCCCCCTCCTCCCTCTATGCACAACTCTTTCACTCCCTCCTCCTTTCATGAAACCCTGCTCTTCTCTAGCCTTGACTCCTACTGGGCTCCCTACTCCTTCACTTGTCTGCCACCAAGTCCTAACTCGCTCAAAATTCCATCTTTCCATAAGGAAGTGGGTTTTCAGGAACTGATTCGCCTTAATTTATACCCTAACAATGAGATTTCTTACACTGAGAAGGAAATTCTATTTTGGTTCCCAAATCTTTCCCCCATTCCCACTTCTTCCTCTTCTGCAAACCCACCTTTCATTATCTCTGGAAGATTGCGAAAATCCATCTTTAGTTAATTTTGCTTCTATGCAACTAAAAGAAAATACAAAAAGGTACAAAATTGAATAATATTTTTACCTTTGGAATCCTTTTGAGCTTCTGTTGTTTCTTCTTTTACAGAATGAACATCATCTTTTTGAGCAGTTTTCTTGACTTTTGTACCTAATGCCTCTACATCTCCAGAGTTGCTTCTTTTTCTCTTCCCTAGCCTACTTTCCTCAGTTAACTCTGGGCTTTCTGTTCTATCCCATTTTTTTCTCTCTTTCTTAGACGGTTGCCTATGGACTCCAGATACTTCCATTTCCAAGCACTCAGATGTTGTCCTGTGTCTCTTTGACTTGCTTATTTGATCTGCAGTAGTGTCCATGTTTGATTCTTTCATTTCTGCAGCTGACTGTAAGCTGCTTTCTTTCTTCATTTTGGATTTTTTCTTCTTTTTCTTCTTCTTCTCTTCTGTATAAAGCAAACAACACATTTAAAACTTTGTCAATTTGCATTCCTGATTAAAGCTTAGACTAGATCAGCGAGCCTAACTGCATAGAGGTAGCACAACATGCCCTCATGTTAAGAGATCAGAGAGTTTTCAGCTCCTGGGAAAGTTGATTTCTTTGCAATTACTAGAAAGAGGCAAGAGATGGTCCCAGAGAGCTTTACTAGTTATTTTAGGAAGATGAGATAAAACTATAGAGGGGTTTTTGCTAGAATCTCCCAATATAGAGTGAGGCCATGGTCTTGTAAGTGAAGGTTGAGAAGAGGTTTCCTAGAATGCTCTCTTTTGAGTTAGCAGGGGGAATCAAGAGTGCCGGAAAGGGTTGAGGATAAAGTCCTGTTCTTCCTCACGATTTGTATGTGATTACAACATTCCCTGGAACTGGCTGCTTTTGGAGGTTGGCAGGAAAGAAAAGGGTCCTTACTCCGTCAGAATGGACAAGTAAATAGGAAAGCTGGCTGATTTAAATTATGAGGTCTATTGGGGGACACAACCTTTGGTAGATACTGGGAAAATGTCAGAACTGCTTTTATGAATTCACTGAATCTATCACAATTTGTATATACCAAGAACTACATGCCTGCCAAATTACTTAATAGGGAGATTATCTGTATTGTAAAGTGGGAAAATTAGGTCTGATACCCAGTACTGTTTATTTGCTTCCAGACTGGCATGGGCTGGGAACACTACTGAGAAGCAGCACAATCAGATCCTGAAGTAGAAGCGGCACCTTCACCTTTTGAGTCACACCGATCACTACTAAAAATGATTAAGGAGCAAAGCCTTGTTGTTAATAAAGGAGTAGTCAGTCATTGGCCAGAAAAAATGATGGATGTGATGGGGAAACTCACTGTGTGAATGGAAGGAGCCTCAAGACTCCGTATGAGACAAAGTGAGCTCCTCCATCAAAAACAAGGTAAGAATGAGCTGTGCAAGTCAACTGAAACTATAATCATGCTCCTTGAAGAATTATGCTATCAAAATTAATCTACAGATCCCTTACAGAACCACTGCTCAAGCATACTGAAGGGCTTTCCCTTTGCACTTTTCCCCATGTTTCTGTGAGCAAACATTTAGAAGTCCCTGCCCAGAGGCACTGGAGTTATGAAGACTGAAGGATCTTCAGTGAGATATTCAGACAGTAAAATTCTGGTAAATTTCTCTGGTTCTACAGAAATACAGCTAACAAGTTGAGCAGAAAGAAAAATGCCAGATGGTTGCCATCCAAGACCTGCTAGATCTAAAACATGTTGGTTTTAGCAGCCTTAATCTTTAAATGTAATTTTGCTATTATAATTTATACCCTTCTCTTCAATGCTAAATGTTTTTATGCAAGTATGACAAATCTGACTGGGACTCATGGCGATTGTTTAAATAATGATTAATAAATAGTACAGCCTAGTCTGCTAGTATGAAAGCAAACAAGGTTGCTTCTTGGTTAGCAAGAAATTTTCATCCTTATTCAAGACAGAAAAGAGGCAGAAATTCACTATTGAAAACAGAGATGCTTCATCTCTGTATTCCAGTTTTGCTTCCTAAAGCCATATTTACCAAAGAAAACAAAAAGTTACACATTTCTGTTTCAATAAAGTTTTAAATTAATAGATTAAACAGCAGCAAAATGAGTTTAAGATGTCTGAATTAAAATATTATGCCCAAAATATCCCTCTCCCCCACCACTAATACCTACCCACAACACTGCAGTCACTTGTATTCAGTGCAGGAACAGGCTTATTTTTTACTGTTCTGGGGAACATCCCAGGTTTTCTTGGTGCTTCTTCTGGTGGATTATTCAAAAACTTAAATACAAAAAAAATAGGAAGTATTTAAGATCAACAAAATATTATTTAAAAACTAAATTTATTCACAGTGGAATACCCCCCCACCCCAAAAGAAATAATTACTAAAAATATATACTGCCTCTACACCCATTCTAGAAAGATGTGGTCTCTGAAGAATCCAACAAAGTACCTTCTTCTTTTTGATAATTGGTCCATGAGCACTGCTTAAAAGTTTATTAGTCTTCAAGACATTAGTGTTACTAGCTACTTAGACTGATACAACAGTTTTACTTTTATTTTTGTTGTACTATGGAATGATAATTTCTAAAACCTCAAGACCACACCACAAAGCTATGATAAAAGTTAGTATTAATACCTTCACTATCCTCTTCCAGTGAACTGTGCAAGGCCATTTCATTCCCATTTTGCTACTGTCATAAACAGATTTTTATTCTGGGTACAAAAGGAGCTAAAAAATAGCCCAATGAAATTAAGGGAGAAAATATCAGTGTGTTTTTCTCCTATTTGCTCCACTTAATTTAATTGAATTAGAAAACTTTACAGTTTGTGAAGCTATTTGCAGGTTTAAAAAAGACCCCCCCCCAAAAAAAGGTGATATCCAGGCTTTGTAATTTTATTATTTCTGAGAATTCCTGTATTTAAAGCTTAAGTTTCCCATCCACTGCCCTTTACAGCACTGGAGACTATTCACATTTGCCACTCTATTATGAGTGAGGCTGTGAGTCTTTCACAGAGGTCACGGAAATCACAGATTCCATGACTTTTCCAGGACTTCTGGGACTTCCGCAGCTTCAGCGGCTGACCCCAGGGCTGCCCAAGCAGTTGCAGCTGGCCCTGGGCCAGCTGCACGGGCCGCTGCTTGGGCAGCCCCAGACAACTGGTCCAGTGCACACCCCCCCCCCCCGGAGGAGGAGTGGCGGCAGCAGCGGGGCCCCATTGGCCGCCCCCTCAGCAGCAGTGGCAGTAGTGGGGCCACGCCCCCTGGAGCAGCAGTGACCACCAGAGCACCCTCCCCCAGATCAGCAGCGCCTGCTGGAGCGCCCCCTCTCCCCAAGCATTTAAGATTTAATTAGGGGTATTTTTAGTAAAAGTCATGGACAGGTCACTGGCTGTGACTTTTTGTTTATTGCCCGTGACCTATCCATGACTTTTACTAAAAAATCCATGATTAAATCGTAGTCTTAATTATGACATGCAAAGAAGTGTTAAAGCTGGGCCTACCTCAATAGCTTTGTCTGCTTGCTCTCTCGTTTCAAATTCAACAAATGCAAATCCCTTTGGGTCTCCAGTGGACTTATAACGTGGGATACTGATATAAACTACATTACCACATTTCCCAAATACCCGCTCAATCCAACTGTGGTTGACATTTTTGGGAAGCAGCTCCTAAAAAAAATGAAACATTTTATTTTTCTTTTAGCAATATAATATACACATTCCTGTATAGTCAGTTACCATAGAATCAGAGGCTCAATGTAGCATAGTACTGCTAGCTATTTAAAAGTTTTCAATGAAATATCTAAGAAAAATTTAGGAAATACTTTCACATTTCTAGACAAGTATGTTTATAGAATGAAATAGGTAGATAAATAGTAGCAAATTAATCAGTAGGGGCAACAGCACGTTTTAGCATTCATGGAAATGTCACTTTAAAGCAGTGATGGGCAACCTGCGGCCCATCGGGGAATCCGCTGGCGGGCCGCAAGACAGTTTGTTTACATTGACCATCCGCAGGCACGGCTGCTCGTAGCTCCCAGTGGCTGCAGTTTGCCATTCCTGGCCACTGGGAGCTGCAGGCAGCCGTGCCTGCAGTCGGTCAATGTAAACAAACTAACTATCTCACGGCCCACCAGCAGATTACCCTGACAGGATGCAGGTTGCCCACCACTGCTTTAAATTGTACCCTTAGTACAAACAACAACGTACATTTGATATATGTTATTTTCTTATTTCCTGTACCAAAACCTCAATTCTGCAACCACATCCATGCATGAGGACCCTTGAGCCAGTGCAGTCTCATTGGCTTGAAACAATCAATTCACAGCACAATGGTTTTTTGACTTTGGGTAACTCACACTTCAGAGAAATAGGTGTTTATATGGAACAACAAACAAGCACTAGTGAAAAGAACTGGTAAATTAAACCTGGTAGCTCTTTAGTTTTTAAACTTTATGATGAGCGCTAATATGCTAATTGACCATCTGTAGTGACGACCAGTGTGGGGTTTTCAGCCTGTCACCTGGGCAATAGGCACATATGAATTAGCAATTTTATGCCACAAATTCTGGCAACTTGCAGACCGCCTGCCTCAGTTCCTACTGGCTTCCCTTTACTGCTGACAGTGGAAGCTTGTTCAAACTATTAGCTCCTTCTAGTTCGGGAACAGCTTCCTATACCTTTCTAAAGAGGGCCTTATGGGCAGCCCATTTGACAAGATACATCTTCAAACACTTATACAAACAAAAATTGCAATGTCAGCATTATTTAGTCTCCCAACAGGTTTATTTTTATAAAAAGGTTTTAACTGAAGAACTTAGTGACGAGACACTGCACTGTTCCTAAAGAGAGAGAAACTTCTGGTTAAATTATTGGTTTAATATGGGCTCTGCCTGCCTGAGAAGCACATTCCATTATAGTTTTGATACAATCTAAATGTTAGTGAATGTAAAACTACCTAAAATATTTAATGGGATATGTAAAGCACCAGAAACAATTATGCACTGCTAGAGAGTCGAAAGTAGAGCAGAGAAAGTTTATTAACAAAGATTATCTTTGTAAAACTTGTTTTGAAATTTAAACTTCAAAAATATCTTTTGACAATTCAATTAAGCCTTAAGGGAAGTTTCTTTCTATATACAAGATAATGAAGCGACTACTTAAAGGAATACATTACACGGACTTAATTCTTGTTTCAAAAATGGAGCTGTGCCTTGCTGCATACACTGAAAAATATGCTATTGTGCCTGTGAGCCCAAGTGCGGTAGCAGATTTTTTGTGATATGCAAAGGATGTGTTCCTATTCATCTGAGGCTACAAAAGTAGTCTGTGTGTTGATCCTGCACAAAAACCTCTCTCTTCCCCTCTCCAGGATGGAAGCAGAACTTATCAAGGACTCTAAGGGTATGTCTACATCGCAATTAAAAACCTTCAGCTGGCCTGTGTCAGTTGGTTTGGGCTAAGGGGTTGTTTAATTGCAATGTAGACTTTTGGGCTCAGGCATCAGCCTGGGCTCTAGGACTCTGCAAGGTGGGAGAGTTCCAGAGCAATGTCTACATTGCAATTAAACATCTCCTTAGCCCAAAACCCTAGTCACAGGCCAGTCAGAGGTGTCTAACTGCAGTATAGACATAGCCCTAGGGAATGCCTACACAGTATTTAAACCTGCAGCTGGCTGGGGTCAGCTGAGTTGGGCTTATAGGGCTTGGGCTGCAGGACTATAAAACTGTGGTGCAGACGTTCAGGCTTAGACTGGTGCCCAGGCTCAGGGACCAGTCTGAGCTCAAACATCTACACCATAAATTGTACAGACCTGAAGCCTGAGCCCCGCAAGCCCACGCCAGTTGCAGATCTTTAATTGTTGTGTAGACCAGCAGTTCTCAACCAGGTGTCCAGGGCCCCCTGGGGACCGTGAGCAAGTTTCAGGGGGTTCACCAAAATAAATCAGAGACCAGGGCCACCGTTAGACTTGCTAGGACCCAGGACAGAAAACTGAAGCCCAAACCCCAATGCCCAGGGCTGAAGCCAAAGACCAAGCAACTTAGCTTTGTGGGGCCCCAGGCAATTGCCCTGCTTGCTATCCCCTAACACCGGCTCTGGCTTTTAATCTACCGCATATGCAGAACAGTTGTTGGGGCACAGGTGGGCTGTAGATTTTTTATAGTATGTTGCGGGGGGAGGGAGGACCTCAGAAAGAAAAAGGTTGAGAACCCCCGGTGTAGACATACCCTAATACAACTATACCGCCCCATGGTTGCACATCAGAAGAAGTGATTTAGCAGGGTTTAAAATTTAAATCACTGTATAAAAAACACATTGGTCTCTCTCTTTTTAAAAAAATCTGTAGGTGGTAAGAAGGATCAGATATATACACCTCTACCCCGATAGAACGCTGTCCTCGGGAACCAAAAAATCTTACCGTGTTATAGTTAAAACCGTGTTATATCAAACTTGCTTTGATCCGCCAGAGCGTGCAGCGCCGCCCCCTCGGAGCGCTGCTTTACCGCGTTATATCCGAATTCGTGTTATATTGAGTCACGTTATATCGGGGTAGAGATGTATTGCAAATTACTCTTCATATAAGAGCTTTGGGAATTTGGTGATCTACAAAATATACACCAGTGATTCTTTTTACAACAATTTCAAATCAAAGCCTAACTAAATAGTTCATTAAAATAGGAACACCTTACTTCAAATGATATTGACGGAAAAGTTTCAAAATATTTGAAGAGCTTTGGAATAAGGAGAGCTTACAACTGCATTAGGGAATTCTATTAGCACTATCACACCACACTTAACAAAAGCCCAGACATCACTATTTGTTGTTAAAGAAAGGCTGTATAAATACTTTATTCTCTAGAATGACCAGAGCAACGCAAGTTATTTACTGAGCTGTAGAGCTGTGGTACTTTGCACATGTATATATCTACATGGTGGTTACAATACATGCCATCACAAAAAGTTTGGTACACAAATAAAAAAAATGCTGGTTCAATGAAAACTCAGTTCCCCAAATGGCTCCTGCTACATACCTACAGTAACTCCTCACTTAAAGTCGTCCTGGTTAACGTTGTTTCATTGCTGATCAATTAGAGAACATGCTCATTTAAAGTTGCGCAATGCTCCCTTATAACGTTGTTTGGCAGCCGCCTGCTTTGTCCACTGCTTGCAGAAAGAGCAGCCTGTTGCAGCTAGCTGGTGGGGGCTTGGAACCAGGGTGGACTGTCAGCTCCCCACTCCTCCACTATCAATTGCCAGCAGTTCAGCTGTCCCTCCCCACCACTGCTGTGTGCTGTTCCTGCCCTCCGCCTTGGAGCTGCTCCCGGCAGCCTCCTGCTTGCTGTGCGGGGGGAGGGGGGGGGAGGGAAGGGAAGGAAAGAGGGAGGCTAATGTCAGGGTGTCCCCCGCTATAGAGCGGGTGGGGTGGGGGGAGGAGACACACGACAGGGCTCAGGACAGAGGGAACTTGCCGGCAGCAGCTGCTGTCTCAACTTGCTGTTCTACTTAAAAAGGCAATGTACTTAGATTGGGGTCAACTTAAATAAAGGGGTAATGCTCAATGCTCTCTCTCTCTCACATACTGTGTGTCTCTCTGTTTTTTTGGCCATATTGTCTCCCCTCCCTCCATTTGTGCTGCCTTGTAGAGTGAGGCTACATTAACAACATGTTAACCCTTGAGTTCTCAGCCAAGTGCTAGTTCATCATTTAGCAGTAAGGCATTCCCTGGGAAATATCCCACTCTCTGACTTCACCGCCTCAACCAAGCTTCACAATCATCATTGCGGTGTACAGTATTAAATTGTTTGTTTAAAACGTATACTGTGTGTGTGTATATGTGTATGTATGTATGTATGTATAGGTCTTTTGCCTGGTGAAAAAAAATTCCCAGGAACCTAACCCCCGCATTTACATTCATTCTTATGGGGAAATTGGATTCTCTTAACATCGTTTTGCTTAAAGTTGTATTTCAGGAACATAACTACAACGTTACGCGAGGAGTTACTATACTTTGATACGAGCCATAAAAGCTCTCTGAAGTCCAGGGGACTCCTAGATAATGCCCCAGTGAAGTTGGAACTGGATACACAGAGTTCCTTCTGAAAGTCTTCCAAGAATACAGCTCCTCAGAGGGAGCACTAGCTTACATCAGCCAGCTGCATTTTTTACTGCCATTGCTAGCACTGTTGGAATGCTGGTGCTGCAGCAATACAGAGATATTTTCAGAAAAATCTCAGTATAGCCACAGGGCAGAGATACTGGAAGAGTTTTCCAGAAATAAAACACTGAAACCAACCAATTTAGGAGCTTTCTGCTATCAAAAGACTGACGATACTACAGGACAAACCAGATTTGCAACAAACATGTTGGTACTTCTAAAACGAATAACTAGTGTTGTAATGTACGCTCTACAAATGACCTATAAAATAGTTCTAAATCATCTGTCAAACTCATCTTCTCTGATCAAGTTATCTTTATCATCATCCTAAAGCTTTGTTTACTCTAAGAGAATATATATATAAGCCCTTGTCTGTATCACTGCAGCTCCTCTCATGTTACAAACTGTGGAAGCAATAGTGCAGGAAAATACACAAAAATTTCTCCAATATAAATACCCCTCGTGTGTTAAAATAGATCTAGCTTATCTTGCTAACATTAGTTAATTTGAGTTCAATCATTCACTGTATATGCTGCATCTTGATTTAACAGCAAAAGAAAAGCAATAGTAAAAGTGACATTAGAATATTCATGTTATGAAGTATATCGTTTCCTTTCTCCAAAGCTGCATTTTTCTCCAGTCTTCTAATTCCATTAACAACCTGTCTCAAGTACCAGCTAGTATTCATTATTTGTTCTTCATTATCCTAACCGGTTCAGAGATTCATAATTTCAAGGCCAGAAGGGACCATTGTGATCATCTAGTCTGACCTCCTGTATAACACAGGCCATAGAATGTCCCCAAAATAATTCCCAAAGCATATCTTTTAGAATAAAATCCAATCTTGATTTTAAAATTATCAGTGACAGAGAATCCATGCATCCCTTGGTAATTGTTCCAGTGGTTAGTTACTCTCACTATGAAAAATGTATGCCTTATTTCCAGTCTGAATTTGTCTAGCTTCAACTTCCAGCCATTGGATCATGTTATACCTTTCACTGTTAGATTGAAGAGCCAGTTATTAAAGATTTGTTCCCCCATGTAGATACTTGTAGACCAGAGGTTGGCAAACTTTGAGAAGTGGTGTGCCAAGTCTTCATTTATTCACTGGTTTCGCGTGCCAGTAATACATTTTATATTTACAGGGGCAGGCAGACGGAACCCCAGACTGGCAGCAGGCTGAGCAGGTCCGGCAGCCGGGATCCTGGCTGGCAGGGGCCGGCGGATGGAACCCCAGACCGGCAGTGGGGGCAACAGACGGAACCCCAGACCAGCAGTGGGCTGAGCCGCTTAGCCCGCTGCCGGCCCCAGCCAGTCGGGGTCCCGTCTGCCAGCCCCAGCCAGCCCGCTGCCGGCCTGGGGTTCCGTCCATCCAGGGGCCGGGACCCCAGCTGGCAGAAGAGTCCCACTACAAATCAGCTTGCATGCTGCCTTTGGCACACGTGCCGCAGGTTGCCAACCCCTTTTGTAGACTGTAATCAAGTCACCTCTTAACTTTCTCTTTATTAAGATAAACAGACTGAGTTCCTGGATTCTCTATTTATAAGGCATGCCTTCTAATCCTTCACTCATTTTCATGGTGTGGCACTTTACAAGACAGAAACAAACCAGGTACTGTGGAATTTACAGTCTCAAATTCAGTAAGAAATAAGTTTTAAATTAACCTTCATAAACAACAGAATAGTCCATAAACCTTCAAGAGACATGAGACACATGTAACAGATGCAACCTTACCACATATACAGTACGACTATCCACATCTTTTGGTTGCTCACCCAGTGGCTGACGTCTTCTGATTCTAGTTCCCTCTAAATCCAGCTAAGAGCAACAAAGACAAATTAGGACAGCATTTTCTACAGTATTGTCTGCCACCCCAACTACAGTAACAGCAGCTAAAAAAAGAATGAAAAAACAATACACACTTCTACAACAGATGAGCTTTTAACTGCTCGGGCTATCAATTTCCCATCAGTCGTCAATTTTTTCATTTTGTTGAACGATACAAGAAGTGATATGTCAACATCTGGGGGGAAAAAAAGCAAGTGGTGAAAATAGTGCAAGTTAAAAAGGAAAACATATTTAGGCCTCATTCACATTAGAATACATAGATAATACTGATCCGCTGCTAAAGTATCATAGAAGCCACTGTGACTATTTCCATGCACGAGGGCTGCAAGAGCAAACCTCTGGTTTGTAACTATGTTGATTATTGACAAGAACTTACATAAAAGTGGATTTTTACTGTCTGTAATTTAGGCTTTCCTGATCTTAGATTTTATTTCTCTTCCCCATTAACCTTCTTCCCAAAGGAATTTTGATCTATTCTTTCAGCTCCCACTGGTAACTATTCTCTTTGGAAATAAACGAAGAAAAATCCCTTTCTATTGTGGTTTTATGATGCAAAAATCTTTTTCACTAAAGATGTGCTTTCCTCCAAGCACTCACTTAGTGTTCAGATTTAACCCAATGCTCCCATTACAAAAGATCCCTTCACTCCCTCTATTTAGTAGTAATGAGTTCTGTTGCTAAAAGCTTGACAGAAACTGTTGCAATATTTGTACTGGTAACATTTTTACCAAGTTTAAGATTAATATGCAGAAAAAAGGTTAATATATAGCTGTTTGGAAGAGGGCTTTAACATCATTTTTAGATTGCATAGCATTTGATATAAAAGAACAGAAGTACTTGTGGCACCTTAGAGACTAACAAATTTTTTCATGAAGTTGATGGATTTCCACTCCATACGGCTAAATGCAGTGCCTTGCATAATGACAGGTTTCAGAGTAGCAGCTGTGTTAGTCTGTATCCGCAAAAAGAACAGGAGTTAGTCTCTAAGGTGCCACAAGTACTCCTGTTCTTTTTGCGGATACAGACTAACACGGCTGCTACTCTGAAACCTTTGATATAAAGTAACTCTAGTACATTCACTTACCATACAATCCCACATAGGAGGATGTCTACAATACCTTACCAAAAATCAAAGGACCTTTGAGCCTGTACTAGCATCACAAAAATCACATCATAGCACAATACAGCTGAAAGAACCTTTTCCATCTCAAATGACAGGTGTTCTGTGGTTCTTTAAGAAACCTAAGTAAAAATTTGTGACACCTGTAGTTTTTTCCTTTGTAAGGTAAAAGTCAAACAAACCACACAAACAAAAATCAAAGGACAGAGAACAAAACTGTCACTAGCCTTCCTTGCCATGCAAAGGAACAACCATTCACTCATCCAAACATATAAAACACAAAATAAAAAAAGCTGGAACAAAACCAAAAGCAAAACAAAAGTGAGAGCTCTCGTGATTCCATACCAGCTACACTATAAACCAAATATTAATAGTGAGAGTATGCTTTCATATTTTTTCACGGATTTAAAACAAACAAAAAAAAACAAATAAAAAAGCACAAAATCAAAAGAACCATGAATTTTCACCCATGAAGATTCTTCAAAAGCACGATCATAATAGGATGTAAGGGAAGGAAAAGAATAAGGATAAATAAGATTCCTCATAAGCCCAGTAACCATCTCTCTCTTATGAGTGGACTGTCATTGCTCCAGTTGCTTGCATGGGCTTTTTTTCCCCTCCACAGCAGCTAAACATGCAGAATGCCTCCATAATTTCTATATGCAATAATTCAGAACGTCACCACTGCAGATGAAATTACAATTCAAAACAAAAATTTGTTTACCACTTTCTCAATTATTTTAGAACAAACTTACATCCATCTCTAGACTTCTCTATTTGTTCTCGGAGGAATTTGTCTTTGTGAAGGTTGACATCGCCAAACCAGAAATCCACTTGTTTTGCTATATCTGACAGCACCTGTTTAACCCTCGACCTTTTCTTTTTCTCTCGTTCCTTTTTCTGTTCGGTGCTTTCCTCCTCCATGGCTTTGCCTCTTACAGTTTCATTCTCTATGCCAGTCATTCTGTCATCTGAAAATTAAACATAACTTTGTAAAAAACAGAAGTTTTTCCTACCAATAGTAGGTAATATTGCTTTGCTCTTCTATAGCACTTCCCATCCAATAATTTCCAAGAGCTTTATGTTTGCAGTGTTGCTGTAGCCACACTGTAGTTGGTCGTAGGAAGAAAAGCTGCATAAGCACAAAAACCTTGTCTTTTTCACCAACAGAAGTTGGTTCAATAAGAGATATTACCTTACCCACCTTGTCTTTCCAGAAGCTTATGTTGGTTATCACCAACTAAGGATCTGATAGCATTAGTTTCTGGTCTGAACCCCAAATTTAAGATCAGTCTGCTTCCTTGTAGAGGAGTGCAATACCAAAATGCATTTTAACACTTGGCGGTAGTATTCAGCACAATTGGACTTGTGGTGGCAATAGGATGCACATAAGAAAATGGTCCTTGACAAATTATCAAAAAGCCAGAACACACCTCTGCCAGTAGTTATACCAGGAAAGGATGTGGAGAACCAAATTTTTTCAATTGACATCTTCTGAGTACAGTACAATGCATTTTCACTACATTGTTAACATTATGTCAAAGATTTAGAGCACCATATTTTTGGGCTCATTGATAAATACTGTTTTTTGCAAGTCTACATTATAATTTGGATGTGCTGTATTTAAAAAGAAAGTTTTGCTTTTTCTCAGTTATGTAGGGTCTGCTCTTATGAGGTGCTGAGCATCCTCAACTCCCACTGACCTTCCTGGCAAATTGAGAGCTCTTGGCAACTAATAAAATAAAGCTCGCAGAAAACAGAATGTAACTTGAGCAAAGATAACAAGTTATATGGATTTATATAATTAGAAAATATCAAACTTGATCTTGTTCATCAATAGAAGTATATGTTACTTAAACTCTAATTTATTTTTGCCCTAGTCACTCTTCAACCTTAAGAATGACCAGTCTTTCAGACCACTTTATTCTGTATGTGTAAAATAAAAACAGATACAGCTTGGCAAAAGTGGGAAGCTGTCTAAAAATGAAGTTATCACAAGATGAAGTATTTTACGTGTGATAGCTACACAAGTCTTCCCATTGCTTGGCCAATGGCTTAGTACTGCAATACAATATACCAGGAAGTGGTGCTTGTATCAGAGAGGAAGCTCATCTATATAACAAGATGGCATAAAAATGGAAATGGTTTTCAGATTATCGTGTAAATCAGGCTCCTCTAAGCAAGATTCCAGTTTATCTCCCTGCTGTGAGCTGACCATTCAAGATGATTACGGTCAACAAGTTGTCAATTAGTTTGAAAGGATAAGGGAGGTCATACGCTGATCACTGAGCCAGAAGTTCAACGCAGTTCAAGTCACACTGCAAGACAAATGTCAGCAATGCAATACAGTATTTGGTAGGGAGGTACTTTTTTCAGATAGAGGATGCCTCTGATGACTGGCCAGTTAGAAATTAAAGACTGCAAGCCAATTCTCTAAATAAAATATTCAGGCATTATAGATGTATTATAGATGTATTCCAGACAACATCCCCTCTCTGAAAAACAAACAACAACAAAAAAACCCACCTAATATCCAAGTCTCTGAAAGCTACTGCTCATCATATAATGGAAGCTGTACTTGTCTTGTCTACTCCATTACTTAACTATCAGTATCCAACTAATCTGCAAACTGTTTAGGAAGCTTCAAGTATTAAGGACACTGCACAAATCCAAATTTTAGTTTAAGCAAATTCTATATTGTGCTGGGAGCATTAACCAGGTCCCAAGTTGTGGCTTTGCCAGAAGACCTGAGCAAGGCTAGCTTGAAGATGCACTGCCTCAGGACTCAAAGTCACAATAAGATGCTCAAGAGAAGGGGGAAGAGAAATGAAGATGGATGCTCTATTACCTAGCAGAGATACCTTTCTTCAATATGTCAGCTCAGCTGCACTGGCTGATGTACATGTGGGGAGGTGGGGGAGAGCCACAGCTCTGGTAGGAGGAGGAGTGATCCCACAGAGCAGGGGTAGTCAATATGTGGACCATAGTCCAAATCCAAACCACCAGACGCTTTTGAATGGACCAGAGATTTTTTTATTTACTTATTATAATCATTTTTATTATAATTTTCTATGGAATCTGGACCTTGACCAAGAAATTTAGACCTTGACAAAAAAAAATAATTGACACCCACTGCAACAGAAGATGTCCTCCCTTTTTCACTGCTAGTCATGATTCTGGTAGCCAGCATAAGAAAGTGCTTTGAATTAGCTGGGTCACAACCTGGCACTGTATTGTAAAACTGAGGGAAACTAACATTATTATTCGTGGAAGAAGAAACTCATATTATTCCCTTTGAGTCATTCACCACTGGGGTTTATGTTACTTGGCCTCAGAATAAAGTCAAACAATTGACATTCATTGGATTTGTATTTTAAAAACAAAGGATTGTACAAAAAAGCCTCTTAGGTTTCAACCATAATAAAGACATAGAAAATGCCCCAAAATCATAAAAGCTTGCACTCCCCATCATTGTCTTACGAATGGGGCACTCAAAATACATTCCATTTTTTTCTATTTTCTTACTCAAAGTAGCTATAGCAGTATCCTGTTCTAGCACAATATCAATGGTCAGAACTACTTTACATAACTATATTAAAACCAGCATCAATGCATTTCCACAGTTAACATCTATTGCCTAGAGTATTTTCTAATTATTCCTCAATTTCCAACTGGCATGCACACTAGCTGCTCAAGTAATTTAAACAGACAAGATTTTAAATGGAGCAGCACATTATGTACAAAGAGTCAAAGCACTGAAAGGACAAAAAATAACAAAACTGATCAGTAAAAGCTATGGGCCAAACAATGCTATACTTACCCAGACAAGTTTTTGTTGACGTCAGTGAAAATTAGGCATTTACAAGAATTACAGGATGTAAGCGACTGTCAAGCAACTGTGATTTGTCAGAAAAAAGCCTTCTTTTAACCAACAGAAATGGGTCAGAGGTTCACGAGTCACAGTGGTATCGAAAGACATGTTTAATGCTTACAATGCCAGATTCTATTCTACTCTCACATGTGCAAGGTGCTGCATGTAAAAAGCACTGGCAGCTTTGTTACAATGTTGAGCAGGTACAAATGCAGTATGGTAGGGTTAACTTAAACTGAATTGGGGGCTGCAGAGCTGAACTTGGATTGCAGTCATTTACAGTATGTTCTATACTGCATTGGAAACTTGAGGGCAGACTCAAGAGGGGTGGGCTCAAACCTATCATCCACTCACAAGTCTATCTACTAACCAGCAAGCACTCAGGACCCAGCTCCTGGGGCCCATTGGGGGGAAGGGGGAGAGGAAGAGAGGGAAGAGCCTGATTCTCTGAGAGACTTGGGTCCAAGCCATGTCATTTTGTAGTGTGGATGCAGCTCAAGCCACAGACCCAAGTCAGAAGGTCTGTGTAGCACATACTGGACAAGTGAGCCCAGGTTTACAATACTGCGTGGACGCTCAACCCAATGCACAAGCGTGGGTCGGGTTTACAATGCAGTGTAGACATGGCCGGAGATGGCCAAAGCAGACCACAGCAGGGCAGAAGGCAACCCCCTCGCTACACCACTGCAGTGATCCCAAAGGAACTGCCCCTCCCCGTGTCAACAGTCTCACTCCGGAGTGCTGGGCGGGAGTTACACGGGGGGCAGCCAGAGCACTTCGGAGTCACCCCCTCAAGCCCTGACGGAGGGGAGAGATGATCAAGTGATGAGCTGCGCCCCCACCAGCCACCCCAGCACGCCCAACGCCCCCCGCGCCACTAACGCCTCTTTCCCATCGCACGAGACACGCGGAAGCGCCTTGACGCATGCGCGGAGAAAGCACCCGGTAGCGCCCCCTGCCTGCGGGGCGGAAGGGGTTACACATTGCCACAATTCTCCATGGCTCTTCCCCCCCACCCCGTCCGGAGAGCCAGGCTCTGACCTGCCGCCGCAAACTCCTACGGGCTTCTGCCAGCGTGACGTAGCAGCCCGCGACCAGGGAACCCAAACCCGCCTCCTCCCAGGACTCCTGCCCTCCCTGGCGCAGCAGCAGCCACAGCATCGATACCAGCGCGCGACGCTCAGCCCCGGGGAGAAAGGCCCCCGCCTGCCCTTCCGCCGGGTCTCAGTGTCAGCCGCCTGCGAAGGCGCTCCGAGCGCGTGGCACTGGCACGGCGCCTCCCAGCTACCGGCTCTCCCGCCGCCTGCCAGGCGGGGCGGGGCTTTCCAGGCTGTCGCGCTGGAAAATAACGTCATCGACAGCTGGCGGCGCGGGAAACCTTCAAACCTGGGAGACCGGCCGAGCCCGCGAGAGGTGCGGGAAGAGAGGGGGCGGCTCGGCTCCGCTCCTGCCCGCTCCCTGCGCCCTGAAACCCCCACCCCCTGATCTCTCGGACGCATCGGGGTCAGCACAGCGATCGCCCCTCAGCGCCACCCCCCCGCCGCCCCGGCTTAAGGGTGACCCGAGAGGCTCGGCGCTGCTGGGCGCGCGATCCGTGCCAGGGGGGTTACTTGGGAGAGGCCAGCTCGGGCTGCTGTTGTTTATTACACCAGGAATAGCAGGAGTGCAGCGCCCGCTCGCCCCCGTGGGCTCGGGAAGGGGCTCGTCCGCCTCCATAGAAACGGTCAGTCAGTGACATGAAACGTCTGGTAACGAAAACCAGAGCCGCAGGCAGTCTGGACGTACCCCTCTCCCTGCCTCCTGTCTAGTCCTTCCGGTACCAGCGTCCTCCAGCCTAGCTACTGTGAGAATTGCTGAGGTTTTCTTTTTTAAGCACTTTAAAAATAGGTCTCCCTGCATGCTCTCCAGAGCAGGGACTGCCTCGGTACAGTGCTCTGGCCTCTAGAGGAAAAGAGCAGAAGCCCAACTCTTTTCCATTACAGGTCACCTTAGTGCTTCTCATCAGCTTGCTCCAGGGGCAGGATTTGCTATAGTCAGTCCTGGTTCACTTTTTAAAGCTCTGCCAGACCAAAGAAACCACTAAAAAATTATAGAGTCTAATGTCTTGCTATCAGAAAAATAAATAATATCTAACTTTGAAATGTTAAGAACTTCAGTTACACTAGTAACCCAACTTTCAAGGGTAAAAACCATTAGTCTTTAACGTTGGGATTTTTAAAAGCATTCAGTATTGGCTGAACTCTGCTGTCATTGAAGTCGGTGGTAAAAGTCCCATTGACTTCAGTAAGACCAGTGTTTGGCTAATATGGAATGCTTTTGAAAATTCCCTTCTAAATGGTTTGCGAGAGTGACTGTTAATCACCTTTAATATGAAGGGAGTGATGTGAGAGCAAAATAATAATGTTTCATGCCCTGCCAGGAATATATGAGTACAGTTTGTTCTGGTACAAATCCTTTCAGGACCATAATACTTTCTAGGAATTAGTGCTGGATCAGAAAGAAATTCTGATTATTTTTCTTCCTTTTAATTTCTCTCTTCCTTTGCTGCTGTTAAATTTGTAACTCTGAAAACATTTTGTGGTAGTGTCTATGAAAGACATGCAGTACGGTCTTATTTTTAACATTAAGCATTATCAAAATTGCTGATTTATTCTAGGTCATTAAGGCTTTCAATAGCTGCAGTTATATTCTTTCAAGGGCAATAAACCAAACAACATGAAGTCTGTAGTAGTAGCCCTATTATTCAGTCTACCGTAAAATATTGTACCCATTGATTCTTCTTAGCACATCCACAATGTGCCTCAGGGGGGCATGTGATCAGGATTCATCACTGAATTTGGTCCTGTGGTTGGATCATTAGAGAACTGCAGATTTGCAGCTATCTGCTTTATATCCGTAGATCATGTTTGCAGATCGGATGCAGATATACGTTTTGTAACTGCACAAGGCTCTAATCATTAGTTTCCCCTGGGCTGCGTGCTGATGAGGAGTGCAACATAAATGCTGATTCATGATGCCCACGTATTGACTGACGGATTTTATAATTTCCATTCTTATTCTTGTTCCATTTTGTTACTAGGGATGAGATGAAGACTATCTGAAAATTCCCATTCTGCTCTTAAGTAACCATCTTTGTGTAAATGGCTTGATCTAGCACTGTTAGTAGCTCAAGTAAGGGAAAGTGCAGATTTCTCTTCTGGTACTGTATTGTTCCACAAATGGTGATGGGCCACAGAATCTGTGAATTGCACAGCTGGGGACATGATTTTCCATACACCTCTCTAAACAGTACCAAGACTGAGAAGAATAAATTTATAGTGAAGGTTCTGAGCCACCTTGTGGTGAGTGTGTAGAATTTAAGAAGTTGAAAGACAAGACACTTTAAAACTGGAATTCTTAATGAAAAAGGTAGCACAGCTTGGGAGACATTGTCATGAGAAAAAGCATGAATATACTTTATCTTCTAATATATGTTTTTTATTCAGTTTTAAAGACATTTATGCAGAAAGAAAATATATGCTAATTTAATATCTGTTTATCTGCTAACAACATAATCAGCATATTATGATTTTTCAAAAATACCTTTTGGGGACCAACTTGAAAACTATCCTATGAGCTTTTTCAACTTGTCTCTACTGCTCCAAATGTTAAAAGATACTAAATATTCTCATTATCCCTTCAGCTATTTTTAATAGCTAGTCTAGTCATCATATCTTTTTCTATAATCTCTACAGCTTTCCCATGTTTTATGTCCTGCCATATGCCTTTTCTTATGTTTGATTACTTTTAAACACTTATGTTGCTGTCTACAGAGCCAGCCAGTGATTTCAAGAAGTTAGAGCAATTGCCAGTGTTAGCTGTGTTCCTGTGGTTGTGTTTTAATTGAAGTGTCAGCAATTAATATTGATGATTAAGATCCCAATGTAAGTGCAAGTCTTTACACATAAATACAAGTTATGAAGTTTAACAGTTACTGTTCTACTCTATTGGTGTGTCCAATGTTTGAAGATGAGGAAATGTTTATATAATGCTTTGATTACTGGTGACTGCCTTAAGTCAAGATTTTCATAGGTGACTAGTGATTTTAGATGCCCAACTTGAGACACCTGAAAGAGGCTTAATTGTGCAGTATGTGTACTCAGCACTTTCAGAAGATCAGGCCCCTTCGTGGTGTTTAAAATTAGGTACCCAAAAATGAAGACCCACCACATCACTAGGGATTTGAAAAATCTTTATTAATTTGTTAGTAGTGGATATGTTATTTTCTGTTTGAAAATTATTAGCCTAATTTTCAAAGTGTGTATAAATATTAATTGATATTAGCACATCTCTGAAAAATCAGTTTATCAACCAGAGCTTCCATTAAAATGAATAGGAGTTAAAGATGCTCAGCACCTCTGAAAATTAGACCTCTTCTTGAGATGTACTAAAAATGCTACTTTTGCTAATCATTTTTATTTTTGTTAGCTTATTTTCACCATATGAGTCTTTAGAACTCCAAAATTCCTTCACTAGCACCACCACCCAGTTTTTGCCATGTCTTACTTCCCACTCCCTTATAGGGAAAGAACTGGATGTGTATCTTTTTTGTCTGACACACTTGCATTGCAGCTGAGTTGAATTCTAAATATGCCCTTCTCTCTTTTGGGTAGTGTGAAGATCTGAATACCCGCAGTAAGCCTTTGGATTGCTTTGTTTCACCAAAGCAATGGCTTGTCAGGAGTTTACTGTGAGTCTTATTTTTAAAATTGTATATAAAATTAAAATATGTGTGTATGACCACTGTAAATAATTTGTTTACATTTTTTTAAATAAGGTCTTGTACACTCATCAGAAGACTAAGAAATCAAAAATATGGCAAGATGGAGTTTTGAAGACCAGTATTGGAGGAAATAAGGTGAAGAATTCAGGTTTAATATAGTATGATACTGTATTAGAGTATCGTATATAGTACTACTCTTGCAGCTTCTATTTGTGTCACTATTTGCTTTTTGAAACACAATTGTTTTTTAAATTATCCTATTTTAATACAGGCAACCTTATTTGATGACAGAGGACAATGTTTGGAGAGTGTATTTGTTAAATCTCAGGTATTTTATTATTATTTTTATAATCATTTAAAAGCTTTTATCCTTGTTTGGATAAGTAACTTGAGGCAGCATCTTTTATCTTCACGTGATCCAAAATTCCATACTCTACAGTTTTGTCTAGCTTGTCATTGCTAATGTTCTGATCCTTGCAGCTGTTAAATTTTTACGTTAGAAAACAATCATCTGGACAGGTTGTTTGTATGTCACTATATGTAAAGCAGTACATAGCAGATTTTGAGTACAGTGGATAACTGACAAATGTGCCAATGGTGGATAATAAATATTAATATACAGTAAATTTTCACTGCATGTGGTTGTGCAACCCACTATGCTTGGAATATCCTCCTACTAAAGTATGCAATTCTTTCACACCATTTCTTAAAAAAAAACAAAAAACAAACAAACACACCACCGTTCGTAGACCTACCTATTCTAGAAAGCATTACAACTGCAATGTACTCTCACCATTACATGTTTGATTTTGATCTGTATAATACCTTTTTATGTTGCAAGCTCTTGAGATGGAGAGCTGCTTGTTTGTTTGGTACTACTGAGTTATTGTACAGCCAAACACTGATAGACTTATATACATAATTATGATGTAAGGAGGTAGGTGTTTAAAAACGTCATTGTTTTAAGCTACAGTATTCAGTAACCTGAGCAAATTGGAGTTTTTATATTAGAACCTATACAAACAATTTGAAACCAAGGGCTAATGTTTGCTTTCATAGCTAGTCTGCTCCAGTTGTCTAGGCTAGAGTGAATATTGTGTGTTATGGTTTCCTTTCTGAGAATATTGTAAACAAAAATTCTTTCAATATATATACGTTGTGCAACATTTAGGATAAACGGTCATTTTTTCACTGGCCATTACACACAGCCCCTTTTGTTCTTTGTCTCGTCTAGGTGAAACCTGGAGATGACTTAGAAAGCGATCGATATTTAATCACAATTGAAGCAGCAAAAGTTACTGAAAACTGTCGTAGTGAGCTGCCAAAGAAAACAGAAGCTCCTACATTGAACAGAAATAGTTTGAAGCCCACTGGTCTATCTCTGCCACATCTACCTGTTGGCTTGAAAAGGAAACATACTGTATGTTTTTGTTTCTTATGTATGTTTGACATTCATATACAATTTAAAACATTAATGGAACCTCTTAATTTGCACTAGTGTCAGGGAAAACATTTCAAATTACTGAGTTGTTTCCCTTCTCCTGGT